TCAGCAGGATTGAGCTTGGCCTTTGATCAAATGTCACACTGTACTGTTCACTTCAGTTAATCCTACCTCTTACAAAGATCTGGGATGCTTCCATATCCAAAGGCAATTTTCATCCCATTGTGACCAAGTGAAAGCTGAGACCAAACAGCATGCAGGGAGACCCAGGTTTGTGATCTGGTCTGCCAGAACCACCGGGCTCTGTGGAACAGGCAGCACCACGCAACGCACCCATCCTGCCTGGGCCACGCGAGAACCTGTTCTGTGGCAGCAGCATCTTTGACTCTGGTTTGTGCAGGGGCTGCACATCAGAACACGGGCTCCAGAGGAGCAGAAACTGGAGACAGGGACAGGCACTGGAAGGACAGCTTCCAGCCAGGAGGTTCCCTGCATCCACACAGTCCTGGCAGCCATCCTAATGCCTTGTACAATGTTCAGCAGTGACTAAATGTGCTGCACTGAATTCTTAGTTAATACTCATTATTTAGTTAATTCTCTTTATTGAACACACTGAAGTCATACCTATGCTTCAGAATGAATTGAGGGAAGTGCAGGAATAATTTCAGAAAATAGACAAGATTGGGCTTTATGCAACTATATGGTTTTACATCTGAGCCCATTCAAAACTGAAAATTGTAGTAAAGCAAGACTAAGGGGCTATTTTCAAAGGACAGTTAAAGATGTGAAGTATAATGATGTAGCATTGTGCAGGCAGTTTCATTACCCTGTACAAATAAACACCACAAGATTCTTCTTAACAATAAAAGCCTATCACCACAGAAAAATATTTGGGCCTACTGTGATAACCAGCAGAGTAGATTCCACTGTTCTGGGCTGTGCAGCACCAGATGCCACAGCTGACAGCACTCCTTGAGAAAGGAGAGCAGGTCACCTCTCAGCCAGCCCTGCTCAAAGCAGGAACTGTGTCACAGCCTGGCTTTGATCCCCTCCTCTCTCAGCTGTTGGCTGCAAACAAAGCAGCACAGAAATAAACCACGGGTCTCTCCGAAGATGGGAGCAGCATCAGTGTGTCACTGGGCTCAGGTCTGCAGAGCTGAGCAGGTTACTGCTCTGACTGCCACTGTGACTCTGCACAGTCTGAAAGGCTCAGGAATCACAGTGAGATATCCAGGAATGGCATCTTTGCACTGTGCCTAAATATATCCAGAACCTCCCATATACAAGTTCTTCTTACATCCACATGGCAAGCCCCATGTTAACTGGGGTTCCAAGGGCCTGCAAGACTAAGTAACTTCAACTGTTTAAATCCATGAGAGTATATAAGCATCAGATGGAAAAAAGCATTCTGCTAGCTCAGCAAGTGCACATTTCAGCTGGAAGGCAAACCTTGTACAGCTCGTTTCACAGCTGACTTGGGAAATGGAAAGACTGTGCACTGGCCACTCTGAACCTCAGCTTGAGAACTCAAACAGCACGATCCTGGTTTCAAGAATTAGTGTATTCCACGCAGAAGTGGAAGGGACTACAGTGTTCTCTCAACTCTGCATTCACAGCAACACAAGGAGATGGCACTGTAAGTTATTATGGAAGCCACACTTCTACTCTTTACTATGAGAATTATGACTGGAATGAGGAGAAAGTACTACAGAAACCTTTTCTAATAAGCCCATAAGCTGTCCTAGTGAGTTTAAGTCACAGTCCAAAGAAGTCACAATTTAGATTTCACAAAGTATACTATTTACATTCAAATGCAATTAGGTTAATGTAAAGTCTTACAAAACAATAATACTTTCTTACTTGCATAAAGTTTTTAATTCCTGCAACATGTGTTTAACATTAGAACCAACCAAGCTATCTGGACATTGCACACTGCTGGGCAAAAAGTAACCTGCCCTGTAAGCTGAGCCAATACATTGGAAATGCACTTCTGGTATCTTTGAACTCTACAAACAAGGGCAATAAGGCCAGAACAGAAAACAAAAATGCTGTTAATAGATCTCTCTCTCTACAGAGAGCTATTTACCAGATGTTAATCCTAAACGTGGGTAATGTACTTCAACCTACAGATGTAACGAGTCCACAGTGCCTTGTCATGGCTCACACTGTAATTAAACACCAAGCCCAGAACCCCAGTTCTGACACTCCAGCCATGAGCAGCCATGCTTCATTCACTTGAGGATTACTAGAAAGAAGACAATATTGGCTCGTTGGCACTCCATGCTTTCTCTTACCTCCTGGCTTGTTTTCTGGCCTGCCTTCATGTAGAAAATGAACACAGTATCAAAAGGACGACAGGGTAGTAAATCCAAGTAGCCAAGGTCATCAAAAAACCCAGGAAGAGCAGAGTCAAGTGCAATCAGGTGAGGAGGTAGACGACTGTTAGCAGGTTCCTATCCAAGAGACAGAGTTCATCAGCTTAAATAAAACATCTTTCATACTGAAAAGTTCTTTATGGCTTCAAATAATAATCCATTAAAATATAAAAAGAATTTCCCTTTCCTCCCAACAGGAAAATCATACACATATTTCTGATGCAGTATAATCCTGTTGCTGTGACCAAGTAACAGCAAGCATAAGTCTGACAATGTTGCATTTTTTTCTCCTCATTAAATAAAAACTATTTTTCCAGTGAAACAGACAAAACATTTCACTTAAAACCAGTGCTAGTTATCACAACAAAAGAAGCAGATTCTTTCCAAATATTACAACTATACACAGTCACATGTATAGTTTCATATTTACTATATACCAATAATACATAAAATACTAAACACTTTTAGGCATCATTTTTGCAAAAACTCCTTTGTCTACTTTTGTTGATGGTTTTCTGGAAAGAAAAGCAGCAAATAAAAGGGAGAATCCACATGTAAGAGGCTGAGTTTCAAATTAAGAATATGGATAAAGTGTGTAAGATGTTATTTTAACTTTAAAAAGCAAGCTCTACAACCTTTGTGTACTCCCAAGTGTTTATATATGATCAAACCACTTAAGCACAATCATCTCTGAAGCACAACTTTGAAGACAGTCCTTTTTCAGAAACTCTTGAAATACCACCCCAAAGCCTAATTCCATCTGAGGGAATGATTCTGAGTAGGAACATGTGAACGCAGCAGCTTGTGTGCCCACTGCAAAAATACAGATACAGCCACCCACTCAGAGCATCACCAGCTGGAGGCACAGCCTTCACAACCCTGCTCTCAGCCCTGTAAGACTGGGATCCTTCACTTTACTTGACTAGACTACAGCTTAACAGTAGCTGGAATTACAGAGAAGCTCTTCCACTAACAGCAGTTTTCTTTTGCCAAGCCAGAGCCCACGGGTGCTGAGGGCACCTGCACAACACTAAGAAGTATCAGGTCACCTTCAGTGCCTCTAGGGAGAGAAAGCCGAAGTGAGAGAGGAAGAGGCGTGCTGTCTGGAACTCCTGTGCTGGTGGGGGGGGCTTACACTCCGTGACAGGATCAGGAAAGCTCTTCTTCCGCCACTCCTCTTCGCTCTTCTGGTCTATGGAGGTCTCAAAAATGATCTGCTGAGCCATGCCATTCCTCAGCTTCTCGTGGCGCTCTTCCAGCTGGAAAACATTGTGTGAAGCACTGATGCTGACAAGATCACCAAGATCACTAGGAGAAGAGTTCTATCATACAGGAAGGCTGTAAGTTACAGGTACAGCAGCAGCTGCAACTCCTCCAGCAGGATGTTTCCTGAAGCACTACCAAAAAGACCTGGCAATGTTACTAGGTGAGCCTCTAAACACCCTGCTTGCATGGGAGAGCTGCTGCAAAACTATGTATCCAGTATCAGCTACAGCATCTCCCTTTCAAGCAGATAGAAACTAAAATGTACTGGGCACTGTGAAACCTAGAAATATTTTTTGAGACATGCACCCCTCTCCTCTCCCCCAGCAGCCTCAGAAAAGCCCCTTAACAAACCACAGGTTGTTGCTTCCCAGCAATACCAGAATATTAGGATCTGTAACAGAACAGGTTGAGCAGTGCCTCCTTAAAACACATCCAAGGCATTGTCACCTTCCTGGAGAAGTGCACAGGCTTCATTAGTTTGCAGAGGTTATTGTTCCATTAACATGAAATTAGTCAAGCTAAACAGTAACACTATTTACAGTAGGACATTAGCAAGTGATTCAGGAACAGAAAACAAAAACCAAGAACAAAGTTAAGGCAGAGGCTAAGAGTTACTCACCTCCTCATTCACAATTTCATGTAAATCAGGAATGCTCAAGTCAGCCTTCACAAATGGGATCTTGTCCACCTCCTCAGGAAAAGGGCGATGCTTCACACTGTATTTCAAGCCAACATCGTTTTTAGGAGCTGGTCGAGGCTCTGGTACAAAACTCTGACACATGAAGGGGATAGTTTTTACTTGCAAGGTGTCTACACCACTAGACCAGACTTCATTATAACAGCTGGAAAACGTTCCCTCCCCATGCCCCGCCAGAAGTACACTAATCCACTAGTGAGAAGTATAACTAAAAAACTTTCAGTAAGTACTTCAAACTAATAGACTTGTATTAAAAATGGGGCTGTGAATTTTTAAAGGGACACAGTTCTGCCCATTTTTGGTGGGTGCACTCCTGGAACCTATGAACCCTGCTCACCATTTAACTTCTAAGGAGCTGCAAATCCCAATAACAATGTCAAGCTTACACGGTGACATCTTATTTTCATCCCATTCTAACACACAAGCTGTTTGAGAGGCCTCCATTTTAACCTTTGCTGACTATGATGATCTCAAGCCAAGCTGAGAAGTCCTGAAGGGAACAGCAGCAATGCCACCATGACACTGGTCAGGAATGAGATGTGCTGCCAGAGGATCAGACTGGCAGGCACAACACATCCTAATCCAGTTCTGACCTCTTGCCATATTATATTCTAAACTGTCAGTATGCAATGCAAAACTTCAGGTCACCAATGGAAGTAACAAAAGTTCTTAGGTGCAGCTTTGCAGGTGCCTAAGAGCCACGCAAGCAAGACCACTAATTACATCTTGAATGCTGTTTTGTAAACTTTTTTACTACCAATTACACTTGAAAAAGGCAAAACTGTTAACATTAAACTCATAGAATTTAAGTTGGACAAGTGCCCTTAAAAGTGCTAAGGAGGTCAGCAGCCAGGACTTGACCTCTCCTTTAGTGTGGGAGGTAGCACATGGGCTGACACTCTCAGGGAAATGGCTCAGCTTCAGCACAGCTCCAAAGGCACCACGTGGAGGGTCCTCCTGAAGGCTGATTCACAGAGACCAGATTCACCTAAACGTGAATGTGACAGGGGGGACCAACAGGTCCTCATTTCAGCTACATTATTATTTCTGTTATTTTACTGAAGGGCATGTGAAGAATTCAAAGATTTGGAGACATTCAGACAGAAATCTTGATAACAGAAGGACACGCTCCACTAGGTAACTGCAACAGGAGCCTTTACTGTGAAATGAGATTGGGGTTATTTCTTCTCCACTGCTCCTCTACAGAGCTGTTCCAGAAATCACCCAGATAATTTCTTTGTCACAGCAGGTTTACAGCCATCTTTGCAATATCAGATGTTGTAGCCTCACCAGCTGTTCTCCCCACAGCATCTCATGCTACACCTCCAGACTTCTCTCCCTCTGCTGCAAGGGCTTTGCCTGACATCCTAAAACCAGCACCCACACTCAAGTCTACACACTGCATAAACTGTCCATTGCCCCATCACCTCAGAAGATACTGCCAGGAAATAAAGGAGAATGCCCCCTCCCCTTAAAGAAGTCTAGAAGGCAACAGCACTTTCCCAGCCTGTATTTAATATTAATCACAAGTCGTAAAGAGTCACCAGAGATGTGTCACATTACCTACAGCTAAAGGCCCCGTGGCTCAGCCTTAACGTATAATCACCAGCTCTGTGGGGCTGTCTCACATTAGTGGAATTTCTGCTGAGCATCTCTAAGTTAAAGATTTCTTTATGGGCTTGGATAGAGACCTTTTGGTTTGCTTTAGCTCCTCTTGGTAAGAGACAGAGTTGCTGGGCCCATGCAAATCTTCCAGAAGTCCCACGGATCAAAA